TGATTAAAAATGTATTTTAATTATTTACTCCTTTTATTTTTTTTTTGGCAAGATTAAACAAGTTCTAGAAAAGAAAAATATTCTCGAGTTTATGGTTGTGCCGAGGGGCCTTCGCAGGTTTGTAATCAATATTGCAGAAAAGGTAGGTTGGTAATAGTTCTGGCGATCTGACATTTACAATGAAACGAATGGAGAAGGATCTTTCTTTCGCAGTTTCTTTTTTATTTTCAAATTTTTTTTTTTTCTTCTTCTTTCTTCTTCTTCTTCTTCTTTCTAAAGCAGAGACGGTTGGTGTGCCGCTTGAGTTTCCCAAACCAGCCGAAGTTCACTTTATACACCAACATTCAACAAAGCCTCTGCTCTCCTGGGCTTTATTAAAAATTGAGAATGCAATTTACCGCGGCCGCGGAACCGCTCCTAAATAAAGGAAGCCGAGACGACAGCCGAGAGACGTTTTACCTTTTTGCGTATATAAGTAACCAGTCGACTTTGTCGAAAAATCTCCTCTCCTCCTTTGCTGTCGCCAACAGCATTAAATACCTTGTCCCAAATTCATCAGGCGCAATTTTTTTCTATTATTATTGCTTTCCTTTAACACCTGTTTCTTAAAAAAAAAAAAAAAATCCTGGAGATAGCACAAAAATTTTGACGCAAGTTTGCGAGAAGATTTACATAATAGGTTGCGAAGCTTGCGTGGTAAGCTTGCCGCAAGTGGTAAAATGTTCCAATTCTGCAAGGTTGTCATGATAAGTTGCTGCAAGCTTGCAATGAATCTTTTTTTTAAGCTTGCAGTAACCTTTCATTGAAAGCTTTCACCTTTTGTATTGCAAGCTTGCAGCAGTAGTTCACTGCAAGGTTGCAGCATCCTTTCCTGGCAAGCTTTCAGCTATATTCCTCTGCAAGGTTGCAAACCTTTCAAGGCAAGCTTGCAGCAATATTTTACTGCAATGTTTCAGGAATATTTCATGGCAAACTTTCCGATATACTCCACTGCAAGGTTGCAAACCTTTCATAGAAAGTTTGCAGCAATATTTAACTTTAAGGTTTCAGGAACCTTTTAAGGCAAGCTTGACATATTTAACTGCAAGGTTGCCGAAACCTTTCATGGCAAGCTTGTAGCAGTAGTTCACTGCAAGGTTGCAGCATCCTTTCCTGGCAAGCTTTCAGCTATATTCCTCTGTATGGTTGCAATCCTTTCATCGCAAGCTTGCTGCAATATTTAACTCCAAGGTTTCAGGAAGCTTTCATGGCAAACTTTCAGATATACTCCACTGCAAGGTGGAACCTTTCATAGAAAGTTTGCAGCAATATTTAACTTTAAGGTTTCAGGAACCTTTTAAGGCAAGCTTGCCATATTTAATTGCAAGGTTGCAGAATCCTTTCATGGCAAGCTTTCAGCAATACTTTACTGCAAGGTTTCAGCAACCTTTCCTGGTAAGCTTTCAGCAATGTTCCTCTACAAGGTTGCAAACCTTTCGAGGCAAGCTTGCAACAATATTTAACTGAAAGGTTTCAGGAATCTTTCATGGCAAACTTTCAGATATACTCCACTGCAAGGTTGCAATCCTTTCATAGAAAGCTTGCAGCACTATTTCACTTCAAGGTTTCAGGAACCTTTCATAGCAAGCTTTCAGATATACTCCATTGGAACTTTGCAAACCTTTCATAGAAAGTTTGCATCAATATTTAACTCTAAGGTTTCAGGAACCTTTCAATGCAATGTTTTAGTAATACTTCATTGAAGGTTGCAGCAACATTCCCAGGCAAGCTTTCATCGATATTCATCTGCAGGGTTTCAGGAACCTTTCATGGCAAGCTTTCAGCGATATTCCTCTACAAGGTTGCAAAAGTAAGCTTGCAGCAATATTTAACTGCAAGGTTTCAGGAACCTTTCAAGGCGATCTTTTAGTAATCCTCCATTGCAAGGTTGCAGAAACCTTTCCTGGCAAGTTTTCACCGATATTCGTCTGCAAGGTTCCAAAACCTTTTATAGCAAACTTGCAGCAATATTAAACTGCAAAGTTTCAGGAACCTTACAAGGCAATCTTTTAGTAATCCTCCACTGCAAGATTGCAGAAACCTTTCCTGGCAAGTTTTAAGCGATATTCCTCTGCAAGATTGCAAACCTTTCATGGCAAGCTTGCAGCAATATTTAACTGCAAAATTGCTGCAACCTTTCATGGCCCCCTTAAGAAACTTGGCTTAAATGTATCGGAACAACGTTTCTTAAGCCTGTCGAAGTTTCAATCACGGTAATCTTTCTGTAAGCTTGCCTAAAGCTTTTGTGCTCTCTATAAGATATACTTTCACAATGGAAAATGCGAATATAATCTAACACCAGAAAAGTCATTATGTAAATACAAATAAAAATCAATGAACCGAACTTGTAATTAGATTTCACTCTACGGACAAACATAAAATTGTTTGTAACTCCATGAAGCTTATTCCGGAAACGGAAAGCGGAGCCAGAAAAGTCTTGTTTACGGGTCGCGCATCATTGCTCGATCGTATATCTGGAGATAAATCCCCTATAAAACTGCCATTACATCAATGTTTATCTAGAAAGTTCTTTCCAAGCCAGAATCGGGAATGGAGGATTCGTAATTTTAAAATATACATAGAAATGCATCGCCTACAATCTTACATTGTTTCTCCTTCCCGCTACATACAATAAATATATTTCTTTCTTTCTTCTTTTTTTTTTTTAACTCTTCCAAACACGCCTTTCTGTATTGCTATACTTTCCTTCCCTTATTTCTCTCATATTCTTTATCTTCCATCTGCAAAAATCCTCTATTTTGTTATATACGCAAAACTCGAGATTTTAAACCACATAACCTGAAGTTTAGTTTGCGAATGAAATCGCGCCTCGCGTGCTATTGCGAAAACTCATTGCATAAACATTTCCCTTTCTACGAAAGAAAAAAAAAAAAAATAAACGTCGAGAGGCGGGATAATCCTACCTATCGGATTAAAATTTCGGTATATGGAATTTTATTTCTAAAGCCTTTATTCCTGATTTCAATTTTGTTTTCCAACGAAAAACCCGTTGAATCTATTTTTCAATGCATACAATATTATAAGCCGATAGAAAATTTTTTTTTTTTTTTTTATTATTATATAAATATTGTGCAATATCGTGCGCGAGTAAATACGGTTGAACGCGAACAAATGTTTTTGTTATGTGTCGACAAATAAATATTTTATTAACACAAAAATCAACAAGTGTTTAATTTTCGTGATTTTCATTATTTGTCATAATTTTCATTTATAGAAGATAAATATATATAAACTTTTTGTAATTCCCTAAAATTTCTAATTACTGTATACATAAAGATTCCAATAAAGTAACACAATTTCATTTGGGAAGGTTCAAACATTTCACGATAGGACTTTATTTTCTAATTTTCACCCTTCCATTTTGCTGAAAAGTTAGCAGACTCTTTCAACTATTTTAGGGGTTTTAGCTGATTTCAAAGGGTGGGAAAAAGAGCGTGGTTTAATGGTTCTCGTTTCATTAAATTAATTATATAGCCATAGTTTGGGTGCCTGCTGGCAATGCAAAAATACGACAAAAATTTTCTTAAATATTATTTTTGTACACAAGTCGCGAAAATTTTTTTCATGTAAATGGAAATTAGAGGCAATATACTCTCTGTGCGACATACTCGTTAAGGGATTTTATTCTTTAGAAAAAAAAAAAAAAAAAAGGAAAAGAAAAATCTGCCTCCACTTAATGCAGCAGGTGGCCCCCGGGGCTCAAATCAGTCCTGTTACGTTAACTGAATTCAAATTGATTCTTATAATGCTGCGAGGCATTAACATAATTTATGTGCCCTACCTAGGCCGCGTTCAAAATCAAACCCTGTGTATCCAAAACGAACCAGTAAATTTATAATATATAGTCAGAGGAGAAAAATTGGTTCCAAAAATTTTAATGTAGTTTTTTTCAAAACGAAACGTAAAAATCAACGATTAAAAAACAAAAAAATATTAAAAAGTTATATTTTTAAAATAGTACACGGGAAAAAATATCTTACCTGGAACAGCGAAATATTTCACTATAGTAGCAAAAGTTTTACTTGTATCAGTTAAATCTGTATTAGTGAAACCTTTCGCTGTTTCAGATAATTTTTTTTTCCATGTATATTTTAAATTATGTTTTAAATTATATTTTTCTTATAGTTTTGTTTGATAAAAATAACCAAATAGACATAGTGAATAAATTAAGAAGTGAAAATTTTTATCTGACAAATAATATGTAACAGATGCTTTTATATTTACACAGTTGGAAAATTTTTTAATATTACCATGAAAAATGTGTTATTTATAAATAGCCCAAGATGAAAATTTATACCAAAGTGTTTTAATTCTTCACTATTATTGAAATTAAAAATAAAAATATTTGTATTATTACCAAATCCCTTCAATTATAGTAATGGAAAATTTAATTACTATTTTTATTTCAATTTTTTCTCCTTTTTTTTGTTCAGCATTTTTTTTTTCTTTTTGAACATGATATTTTGGATTTTTTGATTACGTTATAGAAGTTTAAATTGAAAATTGACTTTAACAGATATAAATGAATGTGTAGCGATTGCGCTTTTATTTATACCTGATAACTGTTTTATTCGTATGACTGAATCAGCGCGCCGCACTATATTGGAGCTTTTCCTGTAAGCTTCGGCTTAACATGCTTACACTACCGCAACAGGGTTCACTCATTGGCAAAACAGTGATTCATTGTGTAAACAGCAAGCTTTTAGGTATATATATATTTTGGGTTCGTAACAATTACCGAAAGTTTTGTGCAATCAGCTTGCAATTTTTTTTTTTGTTTTCGAAAATCTATGAATTTCTTTAAACTGTACATAAAAATGCATTCATGCAAATTTTAAAAAATGTAAAATTTTTGTTTTGTCAATTTAATTAATTGGCAGAAAATAATATAACTAAATTTTTTTTGTAATAAAATTTTTCCAATAAATTAAAATATTTACCATAATGACGAATTTTCAGCTTCAAGGAGATGAGGTTTCAAACTAAATAGCCCTCGGAGATTCCTAATTTCAAGTTAAATTTCCATTCGAAAAATGTGAAGAATAACCGTCAAAATAGACCGAATTCTATAAAAAGTCTGTGTGAATTCTGAGTCCTTCAAGATATAAGCCATCCAGGATAGAATCTGGAAAAAGAAAAATTAAAATACAATCAGCGCTGTACTGTAGTTAAATTTTTAACCGGTCGGTAATATAGAAAACTATACAAAATTTCATTTCCAAATTTAAAAAAAATAACTGTGGCATTGAAAATTAGGTATTTTTTATACAATTTAGAGTTATAAAATAAATATTTCGTCACTAGGACGTATCTCGACTAATTGTGAGTATCGTTATTATCTCTAGATCAGCAGTGATGTACAAGTAGTTTGCTGTACTAAATCACTCGTGCATAGTCATCACGTAGGCCATCTGTTAACAAGCCCTCTCATTAATAAGGACCTTTAACAATGATGCAGACTATATATATGTATTACAGATGAGAGTGTTAAAAATTAAAGAAAACAAGTATAGCAATTATAGCTATAACTATTAATCTATTTTAAATTTATATTTTCTTTACGATTCTTTACAGTCAACATTAACTAAAAAAATGTATTTCATTCAAAGTACTTTATTATCTAATAAATAATTAATTATTATTTCAGGAAATTAATTTCTATTTGTTTCAAATAGAAAAATTATTGGCTCAAATACAAAAACCGAATACAATTCAACTTAATTTGAACTACAACAAAATTAATCCAATTTAGAACGTGGCGCCACCTACTTGACACAATTTTGTTGCACTACAAAACGAGCGCCATCTACTTGACAAATTTTGAAGATTTTTGGTTCTTTTTTTTTAAATTCAAATAAAAATTCTTTAGTTCAAAAAAATATTAATTTAATAATAAAGTAAAACGAAATAATTTTTTTTCACCGCAGTTATTATCAACTAAACAATTTTTTTTCTAAAATTAATTTTTTTTTTTGGATTAAATTCCTTTCAGAACCATAAATTTGTGATTTCGCCACGAAATTACCATTGGTTAGATTTTAGTTGCGGGCAATATTGGGGTGCGAAATTATGAACCTTGTCTTCCATAGGGGAGAAGGTTAATAGGGAGAATCCTAAAAGGTGAATTCTGAAACATTATGGTATATTTGTTGGTGTTCTAGGGTTTGTTGGCGACCAAACACTGAACTCTCATTCGTCGTTATCACGCGCTCCTTCTCCCTAAAGGCCATTTCTATTTGTCCTCCTGAGAGCGAAATCGTGTCACAGCTTCCGCCAAGGCACGCGCGTTCACCAAAGAACGAGAAACAAGAGACAGGTATATATATATATATATATATATATTCGTTTTATGGTCTGCGAAACAAGCCAATGCTTAAAACACAACTCGATAATGCTTTCTCTCAACTTGGAACACAAAATATCTGGATTTTTAAAACGAAACCAAAAAAAAGAAAACAGCTATGAAAAAATATTCCAAAATATACGAAATTCTAAATTAAATTCCTAACCCCAGATAGCACGGAAACTTGCGGCAAGCTTACCGTGCAAACTTGTCAAGCTTGCCGCGCAAGCTTGTCTGAGCTAGCAAAATGTCCCACCCAGGGCAAGGTTGCCGTGAAAGTTTGCTGTAAGCTTTCCAGGAAAGGTTGCTGCAATCTTGCCATGAAAGATTGCTACAAGATTGCTGCAAGCATACTAAGAATGATTGCGGCAAACTTGCCGTGAAAGATTGCTGTAAGCTTGCTACGCAAGGTTGCAGGAGAATTTCAACAAGCCTCTGGAAAGGTTGCTGCAAGGTTGCTGCAATTTTAAAAAAATACATTTTAAATTTTAAAAAAATTTATTTGTTTTCTAAATTTGAAAAAATTCTTTTTAAATTTTAAATGTATTTTTTAAAAATTGCAGCAACCTTTCCAGAAGCTTGTTGAAATTCTCCTGCAACCTTACGTAGCAAGCTTACAGCAATGTTTCACGGCAAGCTTGCCGCAATCATTCTTAGTATGCTTGCAGCAATCTTGTAGCAATCTTTTAAGGCAAGATTGCAGCAACCTTTCCTGGAAAGCTTACAGCAAGCTTTCACGGCAAGCTTGCCATGGGTGGGACATTTCGTTAGCTCAGACAAGCTTGCAGCAAGCTTGCACGGTAAGCTTGCCGCAAGCTTGCTGCAAGTTTCCGTGCTATCTGGGACGAGATAAATACAATTTTTTTTTTCGGAAAATATTAATTCTATTTCGAAAAAAAAGAATCTAAACGTTTTTAGAAAGTGATAATTTATAGCAATGATTTTCTTTGAAGAAAATATTGATCGAAAGAACGCGATAGTAAGTATAGGTTTGTATTCTTTATGCCAGTATACTTTTCATGTACATATATACAGATGATTGCCATACGTTTAATAATGAAAGAATATTCATGGCTTCGCGCGCCATAATAATATGGTAAATAAGACTCATCACTTTTAGGTTTACGATCAACGTGAATTATATCAACGACTTTTCATTGACATGATTACACTTGAGGCGTTGATAATAATTGCATCCAAACACAAAAAAAAAAAAAAAAATATAAATTACTCGCAATGAAGGTTTTTGCATTTTCTGTTAAATTAACCCCCATTTAACAAGCGCAAATAGCACACACATTAATCTCGGTAAGTTCCAATATTTACTTTCACGCGAGTTGTTTCTCATAATTTTCAAAAAAAAAAAAAAAAAAAGAATTTTATACCTTTTGCAATAAAAAATATTTTTCCTATTACCGCATATTTTCTAATAAAATAAGTTTTCAAAATATATTACTGAGACAAATTTAACAAAATTGAAATATTAAAAAAAAGAGATTAAAAATAAAATACAATTTTCAAATTGAAAATACTATTTCTGATTATTATTATTATTATTATTATTATTGCCATTATGTGAAAGCGCCTCGTTAAGAGAAATTGCGTGATTAATCCCAGTGCAATTGGCCATAGTGATTTCGATGCACTTCTGAAATTCGGTCGCAGGGGCACACTTGCAACGATAATGTTCCCTCTGCGACCTATGACTCATCTGAAGCCTCAGATGGCTAAGCTGCATGTTCTCCAATTCTGGTATTATTATCCACCCAGTGCAGACGCAACTACTGTACATTTTTATTAATCACTCCTTCCATTCGCATTATTAAAAAAAAAAAAATTATTCTCTATTTTTATCGAAAAATTCTATTACTTTCTATATGTTAATTTTCTTTTCAATTACAAAATTACAAACAAATTTTTAGAATGACAAATAAAAAAAAAATTTCAAATTGACAGTAATTGACAATTGTTAAATTATTATCATTCTATTAAATCATTTTCACTTTTCATTTCAATCCTCTATACAATTACTGGACAAAATTCCATGCTTATTTGTAATTTATCATCGTTCAATCATGACAATAACTCTTTGTTGTGTATATGAGAGATATCCACCAACGCATATAAAATATACAAACATTTTTTAAAAAATAGAACCTCCTTCGTGAAAAATGACAATGTCTCGCACGAAGAGAGACACATATCCTAAGTGGTGTGTTCCTTCTCATGAGAAATGAGCGAGCAAGACAATGTATGAGAGCGAACAAAATCGGTAAAGGGAGGTGGAGCAAAAAAAAAAAAAATATATATATATATATATATAAAAAAGTAACTAGAAAGGTAAGGGAATGAAACAAAATGGAATGAGAAGAAAGACGAACACAATAAGAAGGAAATACTATCGGGCACACTCTTTGACAAGGCCGACGACAATGAATTATTCAATCGGCTAATCCCGCCCGTGTCGCGATTGCGAATCGGCAAAACGGGCAAACCTCACATCATGTCAGGTTGACGACGAACGAAATTTTCTTTTTTTTTTTTTTATTTCTTATTCATTCTTGTTATTTTTCCATTATCTCTCTCTTTCTCTTTTTATACTCCAATTTAATTCGATTTGTTCTGTCGACAAGTGAAAAAAAAGTTGCATTTTCAAACTTGACTTTTAATAAGATACTGTGATTTATTTATTGAAAAATTTTTGTTTTAATCAAAATTTTCAAAAATAAAAACATTTGATTATAAAATGTAAAATAAATCCGCTATTTTTAAATTAAAATTTGCAATTTTGAAATCATAGAAATCCAAAATGTGCAAATTGCTACAATATTGCATTAATATAACATGATATTGCGAATATTGCACGGCAATATTTAGGTAATATTAACTCAATATTGCCGTAGAGTAAGCATAATCAATGTTGCAGCAATATTGCCTCAATATTACTGCGCAATATTGCCTCAATATTACTGCGCAATATTCGCAACATTGCCACGAAATATTGCCGTGCAATATTCGCAATATTGCCCTAAAATTGCCTTGCAATATTCGCATTATTGCCCCAAAATTTCCGTGCAATATTCGCGTTATTCTACGAAATATTGACCCAAAATTGCCACGCAATATTCGCATTATTGCCCCAAAATTTGCGTGCAATATTCGCATTATTGCCACGAAATATTGACCCAAAATTGCCGTGCAATATTTGCATTATTGACACGAAATATTGCCCAAAAATTGCCGTGTAATATTCGCAACATTGCCATGAAATATTGCCCAATAATTGCCGTGTAATATTCGCAACATTGCCATGAAATATTGCCCCAAAATTGCCGTGCAATATTCGCATTATTGACACAAAATTTCTGTGCAATATTCGCATTATTCTACGAAATATTGCCCCAAAATTGCCATGCAATATTCGCATTATTGCCCAAAAATTGCCGTGTAATATTCGGAACATTGCCATGAAATATTGCCACGAAAGATTGCCCCAAAATTGCCGTGCAATATTCGCATTATTGCCACGAAATATTGCCCAAAAATTGCCGTGTAATATTCGCAACATTGCCATGAAATATTGACCCAAAATTGCCGTGATATATTTATATTATTGCAATATTCGCATTATCGCCCCAAAATTGCCGTGTACTATTCGCAACATTGCCATGAAATATTGCCCCAAAATTGACGTGCAATATTCGCATTATTGACACAAAATTTCTGTGCAATATTCGCATTATTCTACGAAATATTGCCCCAAAATTGCCATGCAATATTCGCATTATCGCCCCAATATGCCGTGTAATATTCGCAACATTGCCGTGAAATATTGCCACGAAAGATTGCCCCAAAATTGCCGTTCAATATTCGCATTATTGCCACGAAATATTGCCTCAAAATTTCCGTGCAATATTCGCATTATTGCCACGAAATATTGCCCAAAAATTGCCGTGTAATATTCGCAACATTGCCATGAAATATTGCCCCAAAATTGCCGTGTAATATTCGCAACATTGCCATGAAATATTGACCCAAAATTGCCGTGATATATTTATATTATTGCAATATTCGCATTATCGCCCCAAAATTGCCGTGTACTATTCGCAACATTGCCATGAAATATTGCCCCAAAATTGACGTGCAATATTCGCATTATTGACACAAAATTTCTGTGCAATATTCGCATTATTCTACGAAATATTGCCCCAAAATTGCCATGCAATATTCGCATTATCGCCCCAATATGCCGTGTAATATTCGCAACATTGCCGTGAAATATTGCCACGAAAGATTGCCCCAAAATTGCCGTTCAATATTCGCATTATTGCCACGAAATATTGCCTCAAAATTTCCGTGCAATATTCGCATTATTGCCACGAAATATTGCCCAAAAATTGCCGTGTAATATTCGCAACATTGCCATGAAATATTGCCCCAAAATTGCCGTGCAATATTCGCATTATTGCCACGAAATATTGCCCCAAAATTGCCGTGCAATATTCGCATTATTGCCACGAAATATTGCTCCAAAATTACCGTGCAATATTCGCAAATTTTCAATGAAATATTCCTGCAATATTGTCTCAATGTTATGCAATTTCGGAATATTTTCACGATGATAAAAAAAAAACTGTTATTTAATCTTCTCAGACTTGTGCTTCGAATAAGAAGAAAGAAATTAATCTCATTCTCCTTTATAGTCAACAATATTGTAGCTCTCTTTAATGAAATGAAATACTTTCTTTTTGAGAACGAAGGAAAGAAAAAAAAAACAAAAATCTCGGAAAATTGTAACGACGTTTGTTAGACGGTAATAAACAATATATCAAGAAAAGAGAAAGCACGTCGTTGTGATATTATATTTGGAATTAAGGGATACATGCGTGGCAGGGTAGAATAAAGGCGGGAGGCATCTGTTGCGCTTCCGTGAACAACATTTACATAATCGCAAGACTCGCGGTTTCGTCTCTCTGAGTGGCAGTTTCCATATCTCGTTGCCTTCTTTTCTTATTTATTTTTTTTTTCCTTCTCTCTGGGCTTTGTATTTCGTGTGCACGTTTACCATTGTTGAGAAAGGAAAAAATAAAAAAATAAAAATAGAGAGAGAGTCATTGCAATTTCTCAAGGGTTCCAGACGTCGAATTTTTTCTAACGGTTTATGGAGTATATTGCACCGGAAGAAAAATGACAAGGCAGAATATTAACAAATATTCTCTATTATTTGAAAATTATGATTTTAAATTGTTATTTAAAGAAATAAGATTTGTTTGTGGCTCAAAAATATATTATTTCTAGAAACATTATCCCTCCGGACGTATGGGATTTGGAAAGTCGCAGGATCTGCGACTTTTGAATAAAATATTTTTTTAAATTCTACGTATCAATCATGTACAATAAGATAAATCCAAATAGCGAGTAGGAAATACAGGAGATGAGGTTAGAATTATGCATTGGCTTATATCTAAGACATCCAGTATGCATAACAATGAATCCCTTTCTAGTTTGTACCAGTGGCCCTTTTTAGTTGCAAGAACATTTTGCGGGGCGAGATAGAGAGAAGCTCGAGGGAAGATTTTAGTAAGACGACTGTACAAAAGAGGGAAGGGAATGATATGATTTGCATGATGTAGCTATATACCGAACTTCATGCCTGCCAACCTGATCTGCTTCTCTTGGAGACCGACGGACCCACGCATCTATATATATATATATATATATGTACAATATGAATATATAGTCTTTAGAACGACCTACCTGCCAACCTATAGATGCGAAGTGACGCGCAATTCTGCATACGAAATGAGTCCACACAGTAGCATTCACGTTTCGCAGCTCCTTCGATGTTCTCTCTTTCTTGAGACATCAGCGGACCAACAATGAAGCAGACGTATTTATTAATCTCCACTGCCTGAGTTGCCAGCGTCTGAAAAAGAAAGAAAGGAGTTTATGATATAATAATGTCAAAAGAACCCTACTAATGTTTTATTTAATAAACTAATAATTTCATATTTCAAATTAGGATTATTTATTTTTTATTAAACAAATTTTATTTATTTCTTAATTCATTGACTAATTTATGCAGAGCTTTTTACGAAAGGCAAATTTTCTTCACGATATTTTAAAAATAAAATAATGAATCCATTTCGATTTTTATTCGCGTGCTGAAACCAAAGTAGAATCATTTTTAGGGTACCATAGTCACCGGTACCATAGTAACCGGAACCAAAGCAAAACCAGTACCATAATAACCAGTACAATAGTAACCGGTACCATAGCAAAACCAGTACCATAATAACCAGTACCATAGTAACCGGAACCATAAAGAAACCGGAACCATAGCAAAACCAGTACCATAATAACCAGTATAATAGTAACCGGTACCATAATAACCGTACCACAATAATCAGTACAATAGTATCCGGTACCATAGTAACCGGTACCATAGTATCCGGTACCATAGTAACCGGAACCATAACGAAACCCGTACCATAATAACCAGTACAATAGTAACCGGTACCGTAGTACCCGGAACCATAACGAAACCGGAACCATAGCAAAACCAGTACAATAGTAACCGGTACCATAATAACCGGTACCATAGTAACCGGTATCAAAGTATCCGGTACCATTGTAACCGGAACCATAAAGAAACCGGAACCATAGCAAAACCAGTACCATAATAACCAGTATAATAGTAACCGGTACCATAATAACCGTACCACAATAATCATTACAATAGTATCCGGTACCATAGTAACCGGTACCATAGTAACCGGAACCATAACGAAACCCGTACCATAATAACCAGTACAATAGTAACCGGTACCGTAGTACCCGGAACCATAACGAAACCGGAACCATAGCAAAACCAGTACAATAGTAACCGGTACCATAATAACCGGTACCATAGTAACCGGTATCAAAGTATCCGGTACCATAGTAACCGGAACCATAAAGAAACCGGAACCATAGCAAAACCAGTACCATAATAACCAGTATAATAGTAACCGGTACCATAGTAACCGGTATCATAGTATCCGGTACCATAGTAACCAGAACCGTAGCAACCGTTTCCTGAATTATTTTAATTCTATAATAACCGAAACCAAACAAAATGTTGATTTTCGGTTTCTAATAAGCAGTTTTTGTATTTAGTTTTGATTCCGTGAATTTTCTAATTTGAGGGTACGAATAAATTCTTGAGATAATAGTCGATATTTTGATATTAAAGGAAAGGTATGTATATATATATATATATATATATATATATATATATATATATATATTGTAATAGCATTTCCATTTGCTTAATGATGGCGCTATCGTGGCCTCGCGTCTCTTATCGTATTTCCTCTTCAGTAACTCCAATGCCATCGCGTTGTTGTTGTTATTATTGTAACGCGCGTTGTTGTCGCGCATTTCACTTCTCGTGCGGAAGGAGTATTGTGTGCGAAAGCTATTTGGCAAATAAGATTATTACTACATAAATAACTTTCTTACACCAGACAGATAATCCCACCTATTCTACTATATATATATATATTTATACATACACGCGGATATGTGAAATTACCATTGCGTGGTTAGTACACGTTATTTTGCAAAAGCTTGAATAAATTCAAAATATACATCCAATCTGGTTAGTTTACTTATATAACAAAGAAATTAAAATTTTAATTAAGACATTAGTTTTTTAATCGAAAATAAAAATCAAGAAAGAATTGTCAATAAAAATTTTCTAGTTTCTTTAATTTTAGAATTTTGCTGATATACTTGGGAGAATTAATAACTATAATATATATATAGATTCATATAGTTACCTTTATATGTACATATGTCTGTGTGAATGTATCTGTGTGTGAAAACAAGTAGCTAACTATGTGTATATTACACCGCAGACAATGTTAGCGGTTTTCCGGGTTTTCGAGTCTACAACGCATACATAAGCATCAATATGACATGTACTATAACCGGAAGGCATATTCCTACAACGCTATACATATTTGGAGACAAATCTCTCTCTCTCTCTCTCTTCTACTTCTCACATTCCTATTGTTAACAATTTTGAAAGTTATACATTGAAACTATGAAAATGACTTGAAAATATGTGTATTTCAACATGTTTCCTAAATGAGAAAACTAAAATTATCTCCTATTGTTAAAATTTAGTTTCATCTTTCTTTTTTAAAAAAGCATATTAGGATTTTTTTTAAATAGAATTAGAATGAATTAGTTATGCTTTTCTTTTTTATGTTTATACTTTCTTTATAGAAGAGAAATTATGATTGACGAAATAAACGGTATATAATTGTCATATTATTCTCTATTATGTTTCGAAAATGGGTATATGTAAAGCAGCATCCAATTTTGGTTCTTGAATGTAATTTCTAACTCATTGAAACTTTTGCTGGAGAAGAAGAGGACGAAGAAGAAGAAGCAATAGCGGTCTTAATCTATTGAAGAAATAGTTTTTGAAATTCATCTCAAAATAAATAGCTTTAATAAAATAATCATTAAATTATAATTATACAATTATACTTTTTTATGACACAGATTTCGTAACCCAGTTTCTATATATATATTACGATTCATGCAGCATTCGAAATAGCTAATGGAATACTCTGGTCTTTGCCGAAATTGCTAAAAGTATAAAAGCCTGTTAATACTTTCACATCATTTAATCCATCGACGATTATCTCGTTAATATATTTATATATAATTGCAACATCCAATGATGAAGAAAATAAGATTATTCTCACCGATATTATTTTTAACAACTTTTCTCCATTTACAAATAAATTAAATAACATTTATATATCCATTAAAACAATTAAGTATTATTTTGACAAAAATTTTTTGGTAACAATTGTTCTATTTGTACACAACCAGTGATACAAAAATTTTATACAATTCAAAATTTAATTTTTAAAAATAAAAATATAACAATTACAAAAAAACATTTTGAACTATAGTTGGTACAAACAAACCAGTTGGCCCAGTCTGAACATTTGCTCAATCGCCATCAGTGTAACTAATCAAATTCACTTAAATAGTTTAAACTTAGTGACCACACTTTTAATACTTCAGATACAATTTACGTAGAAAAAATTACATTTAGGTAAAAACACTAAAAAAACCAGTAAAGAAAAAAAAAGATACTAAATTTCCTACTAAAATATTTCTCCTATACTAAAAATGTTACTGAAGGACCAAAATCTTACTAAATTTAGTGGGAAAACCACTAACTTGGCAACACTGTTGTACAATACAATTTTGTTAAGAAAAATTTTGTATCAAAATAATATCAATTATAAAAAATGAAATTTCAGAATAAGTTGATTACTATTGAGCTGTTAAATATATACAAGGTATCGATTATTCCAATTATTAATTCTCCCGCGCATATATAATGCTATTAAAATCACAAAAAGAGATGCACATATTTTATGATGAAGCAGATCCGATTTTAAATCCTGATAAAATTATTAGTATCCAAAATTCATTCGCTATATAGGAAAACCTCTCGAGGGAGGGGGAGTGTTCGATAATATTGAATTGCAAATTTCATTGGTTTCAACAGGGGCGAATTTGCGAGAGCGTTGTTTTTGGTGAACAGTCGTGTGCTATATAAGCAAATAACTAGAATAACCAAAGATGACGATGGGCTGGAATTTCCAGAGAGGAGAGAGAGAATGGTGAGAAGTTCGAGCCACGTTAGGCGACTTTGGAGCAAAGGAACAATTAGGGATAAGTAATTGACGCGACATTCCATGAGTTGGAATAGAGAGAGTGAGAGAGAGAGAGAGAGAGAGAGAGAGTGTGTGAATTCGGGTCCGTTTGCCAAAGTTAAGTAATTGTATACGACTTTGGAATGCTCCAGGGTGGTGTTGTAACGCGACCAAGTTCTCTCTCTCCATGTCGATTGTGCGCAAGTAAATTCATGAAAATTCACGTGAATGTGTAACGTAGTTTCTCTCTATACATATAAAGCGCCTTGTACTCGAATTCCTTCGGAAGGTTCTGAATTATTAATGCGAGAAAGGTCATTCCTTGAAAGTATATATATATATATATACCTCTAGGCAAATCGTAAATTTCGTTTAATTGCATTGAAAAATTTTTTTTTTCCTTTTTATAATACCATAAGTGGTGTACTGCATTCCAAGTTGTGAATTTCGTTTACATATTATTGATTTTATCGCATCTCTTCTAATTTTTCTTTTATTGTCTATTTTTTGAATCTAAAAATAAAATTTAAATATTGATTTTTCGAATTGTATAACAATATGGAAAACTATTCATTCAACATATGTATACCAGTGACTGAATAACTTTAAGTACTGAGCAATTTCGAAGTGTTTTGGCAGTGAGCCAACCTCGATATTGCGACCACGCGTTTCCCCTTTCGTATATATATATATGAAGGCAACTATTGTCCAAACAGGAGTAGGACAGTAAATTCAAAGACAAAATCCTACTTGGAGCGCAGATTTTAAAAATTGATTATTTCGATAGCAAACTCTTCTAATTTTACCTCAGTGTTTTATATTTTATCCAGATAAATCTATAATTACAACCTTAATCAAAATTAGCAACAGATGCAATCCGTTTATACCTAAAAAATCTATACATAAAAATTCCATTTCTTACATTAAATTAAATTGTTTTTTTTTCAACAACATATGTGTGTTTTTTTCCATTCAATAATTTTCAAAAAGGGAGTGTGTTACTTAAATAGATTATCCGTAAAATTGAATTTAACACTAAAACACACTTGTGACATAAGTGCATTTACGAAATTATAAAACAAATTGGTTTCATTTCGATAAAAGCGATATCTTATCAACTGTCATTGGCATTAAAAATATCAATCTATCAAAGAGAGAAAGAGAGAGAAAGAAAGAAAGAGTGTTATCCACCGC